GGGAATACGTTTGTTGGCCCTTAATTTTCTTTACCTTATTACACACTTTTCCCTCATCTGTGTATCAGTTGGTACTCGATATAAACTTTGTCCAGCTCTCTCGTTTAGCTTGTCGACGCGTTCTCGCTTGTCGACGCGTTTAGCTTGTCGACCCGCTTGAAATTTTCCAGGTTTTCTGCTATAGGGGAATCGCGAAGCAACGCCCATGCTTTGTTCTGGGTGGTCCGTGCTTTCCTGCATGCGTCGTTCCACAATGGGACTCGCCGTTTAGAAGGCATGCCACTTGTTTTGGCAATGCATTTAGATGCAGCATCAAGTACAAAAGCTGTAAAATACGTGACAGCATCATCTATGGTCAGGGCAGACAGCTCAGTCCATGTAATGTGTGTAAGAGTTCTATACCCTTCCCAATCAGCTGAGTCAATCTTCCACCGAGGATTTTGCGGGGGTAGTTGATCTTTGTTCGGTGCACTCAAGATGATTGAGAAGTGGTCACTCCCATAAGGGTTTTTAAGAACATTCCACTTAAAAACAGGTAAAAGGAACGGTGATGAAATGCTAAGATCTATGGAGGAGTACGTGTTGTTTGCAAGGCTAAAATACGTAGGCTCCTTTATGCCCCTGACACACGGGCACCCTGAAGTCCTTTAGACAAGGGGACATCTTTCGGAAAGGCGTTCGGGCGCAGTGACACACGACAAAGGAGTAACTCCTTTCCGGCAAAGATCCTTTTCGCAAAAGCAGATCCTGCATCTACTTTTCTGGCAGGAAGGGAGTACTCTCGCATACAGTGTGCATAATTTATCAATAGAAGAAAACGTGTCGCAACACTGTGGTGCCCTGTCAGTATTTTTTTGCGCTGAGAAAATGTTTTCATTTTCAGCAGCAGTGCGATTTGTTGAAAAGTGAAGGCCTATAGTCTGTCCATACTCTCAAACGCCTGCATTACGTCACTAGCGCGATCATGTTAGGGTTGGCAGCGGCAGTTGCTGTGTCGGTCACGTAGTATCTTGTAACAGTGGAGTCGGCTCAGTCGGTGAAGAAAAAACCCCGCGTCCAGTGGACTGAAAAGGAGACCTTGGCGCTGATAAAGCTATGGGAGGACCATTTGGACGCCTTGCAAGGGCGAAAGCACAGCGGTGGAGTGTACCAGGTGATTCCCGAGAGCCTCACCGACGCCGGTATTCCCCGTACACGGGCGCAAATTCACAGCAAAATTGCATTCGCAGCGTTTAGCTCATCTTCGATGGAGCCGAGGGCGACAAGAGTCAGGCCCACCTCAACTGTTGCTTTATCTCTGTCTCTGCGCTGAGACATCGCAGGACCACGATGAAACGCGGCACGCCATCACTGACCCAGCTGGACGCAGCCATGTAAAAAGCATGACAAAAAACAAAAACAGCAACACACCGACTGTTCATAGTTGCCAGACGAACTTAAGTTGCTGCTAAAGACGCAAAAAAGCGAAAGAAAATTACAGGTATGCGCAATATAGGCCACCAGACAATAAAAAAAAAAAAACGGTTTTATGCTCTGGCGTCGCTGAATGTGATGTACGTGCGCAGATTCTTTTTAATATTTCCAATCTTGCTGCTTCCACAAACAGCGCCACTTTTTCTGCAGCGTTCTTCTGAGGCACCGCCTGAAGCAGTAGTCTGGTGCCGTGTCATCAGCGCCACTCCTTTCTGCAAATGGTCCCCTTAGGCGACAAAAGGGGTTTACTTCAAAGTACTTTACTGTTGCCCGTGTGTCACGGGTATTATATTTAAAAGACATAAACTAGAAGAGAAAAGGAGCTGCTCAATGAGACGTCCTCGCGCATCACAGTGAGCATCGCCCCACAGGACATTGTGTGCATTAAAATCACCTAGAACCAGAAACGGCTCTGGGAGTTCATCTATTAATGATTCTAGATCACGTCTGTGTAGCTGTTGATGTGGTGGTATGTACACAGAACATATGGTAATGAGTTTAATAAAAAGTACAGCTCGAATGGCCACTGCCTCAAGGGCCGTTTGGAGCTTCAAGTGCTGGCATGCTATACTTCGATCGGCTATAATGGCCACACCGCCAGATGGTACAACAGCATCTTCCCGGTCTTTCCGAAAAATAATATATTGCCGTAGGAAGTCCTTGTGCTTAGGAGTTAAGTGCGTTTCTTGCACACATAGCACTTTCGCGTTAAACTTACTCAGAAGTTCTTGGACGTCATCTAAATTTCTAGGTATTCCCCTAACGTTCCACTGTATGATTTTGTCCATAGAGGGAAAAAAAAAAGGAAAAAAGTGCTGTGTGCAGAGAAGACGGAGATTAGCTCATTTTACAAGGCCTTTGTCAGGCCCTGTAATCGGCGTTTTGTCCTTTTTGGGGCGGTTGAGAGAATCTCGCCGCTCCTTCGGCGCTTTCTGCGTCGTTTGGCTTGAACTGGTGTCCATAGCCTCTTGCAAGGCTCTGGACGCCCGCTCTACAGAGCCATCTGTGCGTCGCTTAGACTTCGCCTCGATCGACGAAGTCTTTGTCCCCACCGAGCTGGGGGTCGATGAAGCCCCCTTGGCCTCGTGATTGCCCTGGCTGCTGCCAGAGCTTGTAGAGGTCACTGGTGTTGACAGGCTGAATGTGGGCAGGGCAGCCCTGGCTGCTCCCGCCGTAGGGGCTTGTGGCATTGGCCTCGGCACACTAGGAGCGGTCCGGACAGCTGCCAAGGGCCTTTGTGGTGCCGCCCCTTGTTGCACCACTTCGGCAAAAGGCGTTTTTAGTGCCAATGATAACGAGATCCGTTGTCTTGCTTCCCTGAATGTGATATTTTCCTTAACTTTTTTTTATAGTCATTGTTTCTTTTTCTCTTTTCCAGGCTGGGCACACTCTGGAGTATGCGGGGTAACTACCTTCGCAGTTAGCACAGAGGAGCTCGTCATAACTACATTCATTAGCACTGTGGCCAGTTGTGCCACACTTAGCACACTTCAGCTGTCCTCGGCAGCTCTGTGATGCATGACCAAATCGCTGGCATTTGAAACAACTCCTCGGGTTTGGAATGAAGGGTCGGACATGAAGTTTTGTACAGCCAGTTTCGAGAGTCTCAGGTAAAGTGGTTGAGTTTAAGGTGAGTATCAAGTGCTTTGTTGCTATTTTGTTGTTGTTACGTCTGATTTTGATGCGCTGGACATCTATTACACCTTGGTCCTTCCATCCATCAGGGAGCTCTTCTTCTCTGAGTGTCATCAAACCTTCGTCTGATACCACGCCCTTCACTGTATTCATGGTACGGTGTGCGCTCACAGAGACAGGGATGTTACCAAAGGCTACGAGGTGCGAGAGTTTATTGTACTGTTCCTTGTCTTTTATTCGAGAAGCAGATCTCCACTTGCCATCTTCGAGGCCTTATAACCGGTTCCAATGGTCTCTCAAGCACTTGGCTACAAGGAAGGGTGAGATTGCTCTAGCTTTTGTAGATGATTGTTCGCAGTGGAGGACATGGTATTTTGGGAAAGTTTCTGTTTTTGGGCCAAAGTAGTGAAGTTGCGTCGGTGCGTACCCTTTTCGAGGCACGACCAGTTAGATAGGGGGTCGAGGATCCCATGGGAAAATGTGGATTTTTCGGTAACGGCGCCTACCACCCACCACGGAGTCCAACAAGAGGACGTGGCAGAGCATGTGGGCATGTCTGCGCAACACCAGCAGTACGCAGTTACTATAACCTAATATGGTTTACCCTAGCTTGGATAGCCACACAAGGTTAACCCTTGCCGCCAGGAAAAACAGAAGTAAATTGAAGATAGGAGGGAACAGGAAAAATTGAAAGTAAGAGGAAAAGATGAAGATGAAGAGAGGGAGAGATAGGAAAAGGCGACTGCCGGTTTCCCCTGGGTGGGTCAGTCCAGGGGTTCCGTCTACGTGAAGCCGAGGCCAAAGGGGTGTGTTGCCGCCACTGGGGGGCCTTAAAGGTCCAATCACCCAGCATTCGCTCAACCCCCAGGATCCCCTTTTCCCCGGACACGGCAAAGCCACGCACGGCTAGGCGTGGGAGGGAGTCGAAACTCCCCCGTTAGCTCGGGTCCGGGGTGTCGCTACACACCAAACGCCTGTTTTCACAGGCGCCCCGGCGGGGAAAGCAGCAGCAGGTGCTGCATCCGTCTGGGAGGCTGGTGGCTTAGCCGCTGCATCCCTGCGTGAGGTCTGACCGGAAGCTACTGGCTGTTGTGACACTGCCCCATCGCGTGTCACATTGGCATATGTAGTGTGCTGTACTATTGAGAACCACTTTCGTGCTTCCTTGAACAATACATTTTTTTTTTTAATTTGAAAGTTATAATGTCTTTTTCCTTTTTCGATGCAGGGCATGATCGGAAGTAAGAAGAGTGTTCAACTTCGCAGTTCACACAGTGGGGTGTGTTGCTACAGTCATCAGAGGAGTGTTCATGCTCACCGCATTTTGCACATGTTGGCTGTCCTCGGCACCTCAAACATTCGTGGCCATACCGTTGGCACCGGAAACATTGTCTAGAATTAGGTATGTACTCTACGAAAACTTAGGAAACTCTACGACTTAGGCCACTCATGGGGTAATGTCACAAGCAACAAACCTCTGGAGCGAAAGTAGCGACTCGAAGGCACCGGTGTAACTTGCAGGCTATACCTTGCCACTCGCTTTAGGCAACAAAAGAAAATGTTTTATCTCATGCAATAACTTTGCTCATATTTGATAGATGCTGAGAAAATTACCACCAGCAGTAGATTTGCGAGGCCAGACCGCTCAATAAGGTCCTTCTACAATAGCAAAAAACGATGTTATAGGCCTTTTGGAGCCTGAATAGAACTGAATAACAGTTGCCTTTATGAGCGACTATAACAAACTGCAATTTCCCTATGAGAACAAAAAGCTAGCGGATTCAGTCAGCGGTGCATTTCCTCATGTCCACGTGCATATCTAACCACCACACTGAAGCATATTCAAATGCTATCGTGGGTCACAATAAACCCTAAATACAAGGGCATCTGACCTTCTTGGGCTGTATCCTTGGGCTGAGGTCGAAGAAGACGCTGAAGAGACCGCGCTGCTCGGGTGACGATGGCACGTGGCCAAAGAAGTCTGCAGACCTCACCTCGGCAGACCAGAACGGCCGAGTGAACTTGAGGGCCACCTGTGTAGAGGGAGATACATCCGGACTACTGAAATGTTTAACTTACACAGCTTTTGCATAGTAAATTAAACACAGCAAAGAAACTTTGTGTTCTCACTAGCTACTTTTTCAAGTAGCAAGTGAGAACACAAAATTTCTTTTCGCAAAAAAAAAAGTCAGTGATGCCCAAGTTTCTAAGACCAGAAGCGATAAGGGTGGTCTCGAGTTTATTTTAGCAGCAGCGTGCTCTGTGCCGAGACCCTTGGCTTATAAGCTGCCTGAGGCTATTTAAGGGGCCCTCCAAGGCTTCAAAACAACGGTGCTGACTGCGTCAACACGTAGTGGCGCTCTCAAGAACTATTGCGAGCGGAAATGACAACGGATGGCGCGCGCATTGATTGATTGATATATGGGGTATAACGTCCCAAAACCACCATATGATTATGAGAGACGCTGTAGTGGAGGGCTCCGGAAATTTCGACCACCTGGGGGTTCTTTAACGTGCACCAAAATCTGAGCACATGGGCCTACAACATTTCCGTCTCCATCAGAAATGGAGCCGGGATTCGAACCTGCGACCTGCGGGTCAGCAGCCGATTACCTTAGCCACTAGACCACCGCGGCAGGGCGAATGACGCGCGCAGGCCTGTGAACAGATAAATGCAAAGTTGATGTAATCGTGGCTTTGCATAAAAATTGGGATTACTGTAGGGTTTATTTTTTCCTTAGCATGGTTTTTCACTGAATGCAGAAGAGAATAAAGCTCTCCGGCTTTTTCAGCTTGAAAACTGCAAAGCCGGTGAAAGATTGCACCATACGCCACAGTGCTGGAAAAAACGTGCCGGGGACGTTCCAGGTGCTGTTGTTAGAAGAAAAAAGTCACAGCTTTGTTGCAAAGGCGAAGCAATGAATGCGATAGCAATAAATTGGAAGGTCACGCGCAGAATAGCAAGCAGATCGAAACGTGCACTGCGTTTCTCACACACAAATGACGCACGAAACCTACTAACAGGTACGGATGCACGCGAACTAGCTTCTCATTTGTTACTTCACTGTGTCTGAAAAGCGTGCCCTTTTCGCAAGAGGATACTGTGCAACGATTGCAGTGACCTTTGTGCGTCCGGTAACTACAACAGAATCGTTTCGATGAAAGCCCAAGCCTATCCAAGACGTACGATTATCCCCACCGCGAGATAAGCGCACGCGTTAGCGTCCAGCCTGCTCCCTCTCCGAGGGGCGAAGTACGCATGCGAGATGAGAGCGGGCGCCGCCATGTTGTGACGATGTGACGATGCTTGCTCATTGCATCATCTTGCTGGCAATGCTGAAAACACGATAGTTCCCTTTGAGATGCCTGTTATTGCAAATTGTGTGAAAATGACGAGCGACTATCATCAATTAGGATCATGATGAGATCAGTGGTCCAGTAAAGAAGTGGACGGTGGGCTTTGACAAGGGGACGGCGGCTCGTCCTTTTCTCCACATCGTTTGGTGCCGAAACCCGGGAGGAAGGGCCTTCAGAGGTGAGACAGAGTGGATTTCACTTCTCAATCGCATCTCCAGCCTGGAGGATTTTGTGAAGCCACCATTACGTCAAGCTTGTGAATGAGGCCTAACCACCGCCGAGACCAGGGAGCACGACTCCGGCTGGAACCAAGACCACTAGGAGCACCCAACGACTGACGTGAGAGCAGGCATCGTCTGGAGGCTAGAGAGACGGGAGCCCTCAAGTGTACTATGGCTTCATCCCGACTGGCCCTTCATGACTACGATGCGATATTCGCAAGTCAAAACAGTCCATCGAGGTCAATGACGTACGTCTTGACAGTGCAGCCTTACGAGTGCAAGCATCGTCTGGAGGCTCGCAAGACAGGAGCCCCCACTTCCACTTCGGCTCCGTCTTGACTTGCTCTTCACGATGACGGCCCGATATTTGCAAGATCATGAAGAATGACAGCCTGACAAGTGATCCATATTCACTGTGCGAACCTTCTGTGACGGCTTCCGTTTGACAACGACTTCGCCTCATGATATGCTCGGCCAGTGACTTCTCACGTTTCTGACACTGAACTGTATCATGGAGGCCCTCTTTGAAAGGCAGAGTCAAACAGCAGTACTCCCAAGATGCAGCTGTTATATACAGTCGAGCCCACATATAACGGCCCCACCTAAAACGGCTTAAAACGAACAATATCTGCGTGACATTGAAAATACACATTGTTTCAATGGCACAAAATCACACTTACAAGTAACGTCTTCGAGCGCCGCCAATCGGTTACAGCGAACGGAGTCGGCGCTCTGCCGACTTCCCGGGAAACCACTTTCGACCACTGATCAGGCATCGGCGAGGTGCCCATAGATTCTTATTGTTAAATGCCGACCCTGCCTTCATGCCCCTCTAGTTGCCACTCTCCCCGACCGCTTTTTGTTATGCACCCCTCCATCCTTTGTCCCCCTACTACTCTGAGCACCCCGCATCGCCAGACAAGGCCTGCGTTTTCACACTGCCACCGATCTTTCGAAGACTGGTCTTTCCTCAGTTTTTGTTTGCTAGTACTACTGTTGGCGTCGCCGGCCTGGAGTGACCAGACCATTTGCCAACCTCGTCAGCCACCGACTGTATCCGGTCATCTGCATCTTGTCTTAATGTAGTGTTCTAGTGCACGCGCGCACGCTACCCCGTTGACTGTGATGATTCACGATGCGTTTTGTGTTCCTGACCTATTCTTGCTCACTTTGCACTCTGCTCAGCATGCCCACCGTACACTTGCAGAAGCATAAAAACGGCTGTTAATTTGCGCGTAACGAATCACGAAATATTGAAATCAGTGAGGCCACGCAAACCCGCTGGCACAACAAAACGATTCTTTGACCACGGCTGCCTATGCACTGAACACCGCCACGCGCACCGATCCAGGCGGCTGTGCTTTGACTTCTGCGCGCGCAGGCACTCTTTCAAGTTTTTATATGCGCGAGTTGCGCGTTTCGCGGACCTTTCAAGCAAGCTACCCGACCGGCCTCCTTTCCACGTGTTTTGGTTTTCAAGGTCGCCTTCCCGCCATATCCTCCCCTCTCTTCACCCTATCGCAACTGCTTGCCCTTCTATCGCAAATCTGCTCTCCTCTCTTGATCACGACTCCTTCGCCCGTCTCCACCGCTCCGCGACGCCAGCCAGGCTGGCTCGAATCCAGAAGTTTCATTTTTTGACTAGAAACTGGCCCACAGCCGCTTCACGCATTCTGGCATGTGCGTAGCGTAGCGTGTGCACGTCTTGCTCGCTCTTGGTGTGCATGTGTGTGGTCAGGATGGCGAATGAGAGGCCCTGCACACTTCTTCCTGCGGCTTAACAATACATCGAAAATGGGATTGCTTGGCTTGGGCATAATCCATACGTTAGGTGCCACGTTGCGGAGCGCTTGCTGTTGACCACCTGGTAGCCAACTTGCTGCTTTGGGCATCCAGGTATTCAGCTGTGGAGATCATGAATATTTGGTGGGCGGCGGTAACGGCTACATGCGCGCGAAACTGTTTTCGCGTGAAGCTTTCGGACAGGACCGCTGCGGCAGCGATTTGTGGAAGTACGTCGTGGACTCCGACATGGGAGAGTGAATGGGACATCTGTTGCGATAGTTTCATTACGGCCGATGACGATGCCGACACGACGGAACTATGCACGGATTAGGGCAATGCGAATGAAGTACGCAGCAACAGCGATTTGAAGGAATCGAATTGCGACAACGACGAAACTTTAGAGCTAGTGCCTCATGCAGGTTATGCCACAGGCCTCGGCGAAGAGCACACTGCCGTTTGAAATGAACTCGAGACCACCCTAATCGCTTCTGCTCTGTGAAACATGTGTGTCACGGACTTTTTCTGGGCAAAAAATTTTGTGTTTTCACTCTCAACTTTTTCAAAAGCTGCGTTTCATTTACTACGAACTTCGGGATACAGCGAACGAATGACACGTCAGGCTTGTTATAAGTGGGCTCGACTGTACCTCCCTCTTGAGGGATAATGGCAGATAACTATTCATCATTTGAGAATGCTTGCCGAACGTGATCCACCACATCCTTATTCTTCTAGTTATTTCACTCTCATCGTTCGGCTTCGTGGTTACTACCTGTCATAAGTAGACATATTCCTTTACAGCTTCCAGCGTCTCTCCACCTATCGCAAAGTGCTGTGCACCAAATTTATGCACCAAATAGGTACATAAATACCATTCAGACTCTGCACTGCTTCAGTCTAGATAAGGCACCTATGAAAGACCACCCCGACAGTGCTTCCTCAACCTAGCGAAAAAAAAAAAAAAAAAACACTTTAATGTTGTGATCTCATAATATATGCTTAGAAATCCCCTCCATATTTCCTCCCGCAATTATGCTTCGAAGTATTAAATAAATAGACCAAAAACATTCAAGAAATATTTAAAAGTGGTTTGATTCGATTTGCATTCACATTTCAATTTTTGAATTTGCTTCGCATCCAAAGTATCGCTATTCACACAGCTAGTGAGAACTCTATTTTTTCATCTATGGTTTGTTTACTGTGAACTCCGGTATGCAACAAACAAATGCCATGTGATGCTCGATTTCATAATTGATAGGCTCAACTGCATCTGACCTTTTTTGGACAACAAAAGGCCACTGTGCTGTGGCAAGAGCAGTGCCTCACCTTTTCAATGACACCTGCCCCCAGCTCTTTCAGTGCATCTGTCTTGGCCTTTGGCAGAGGCGGTGAGAAGCTGATTTCCTGTCGCTGGAGGATGGCCAACGGCACTGTGACCAGGGCGAAGTCGGCCGAGAACTTCCCCTCTTCTTCCTCAACCTTGCCATTTTGGGCACCAGACTGCTCCGTGAAGACTCGCACGCCCCCTTCCTCGGATCCGTACTCTATAGCTGTCACCTGCAGTTACCGAAAATGAAACTAGTGAGGGTGTTTTTCGAGTCGTGACGATACCTTAAGCCTTCAAGTATTTCATGCATGAAAGAAGGAAAGATTAGGCATCAGCCAGCCTGGCTGTGTTGAAGAGCATGCAGTGTGGGGGAAAAAAACCACCCCAAAATACTTTTTGAAAATGAGCGCACATTTCTTTGATGAAGCCTATGATCTCTGCCATGAGGGTGCAGCTCAACAGCTGCAAGAGTAACGCTTAAAAGATGTTCACAATCTTGCACACTGCTTCAGTGACATTATTGAACCTGCCAACATGAGCGTAAACGTTTTTTTCTATGCACTCTGAAACGTCCGTTTTTGATACCATCTCTTTGCATCAATTCGAGAGCACTATTTAGGCATAGCCTTTGCTCACAAAGCCCTTGAAACTGTTGCAAAGTTATAAAGGCAGATTTAGTAGCACCATGCACTTGCTCGCTTAGGTGGGAGCACCCAGCGTGGGCATTTTCTAGGCACTAGCAACGAACAAATAAGCCGGTTTTGTGGTAAGAGTTGCCACAATCGAGAGATGGCAGCGCAGCGCAACTGGTGCACTAATCTGCTGTCACATCGTGGCCCTATACACTAGACGAACCCCATGGTTTATCTTGCAAAAGTGACAGCAAACAACTTTGTTCTTGTGGACAACTGCAGAGAGTAGTGTGGTGTAGCTTGTTTGGATGTGCCCTTGCAAAGACGTGCAAAATTGTGGCTAGTATCACCTCCAACCAAGCTCTTTTGCCCATGGACATTTTATGTTAACATCTATGTACTCTCGATTTAGGAGAGCCAGCCATTTTTTCTTTTGCCCATTGTGCATGACAGCTTTATGGACACCAAGAATTGGGCAAATATGCCGTTGAAATTGATCATTGCGATTTATATGGAAGCTTTCTATGCTTAAAATTCAGTTTCCTTTCAGGCAGAGGGAGTAGACCTTGTGCCCGTAGCGGATGTGGAGGCCCTCAGCCAGTGCCTGCATGAGACAGCCGAAGCCGTCTGGGACGAGGGCGTGTTGCCCGCTGAACTGGGGGAACCGCTCATTCTGGTCCCACTGCAGGGCCGACACCTCGCGCAGGTGGGCACCACACGCGTACTCCAGGTTGCCGATGTGGAACTGTAGCACATTGCTCTCTTCCTGCACGCAAACAGTGTCCATTTGAAAAATAAGAAATCGCCATGCTTTTGTGAAAAAAAAAAAAAAAAAAAAAAGAGGATGACCTTAATTTTAGGTCTGGCGGTACCATGCTGCCATTTTCCTAAGGGATGGGTGCCCTCCAAAGCAACTACAACTTTGTTTTGCCGAACACTAGGCCATAAGTGCGCTTGTACCTATTTAACCAGTAGGTACCTGGCGGCAGCAATTTTCTACCTCCCAAAGCAGTGGCGGATGCTCAATTACCGTATCTACTCGCATAAATCTAAAAAAAATCGCACCAAAGTTTGGGGTGCGTTTATTATGCGGGGCAGATTTTATGAACGCTGTTTCAGGATGAGCGAAAAATGCGGTAATGCAAAAAAAAAGTTAGGTCAATTAGCCTTTCCCAAATGACATACGCATACACTGTTTGGAAACAGCTTCTCTGTGAGAGGTTCCTGAGAACATGACAAGTTCCTGCACGCACGAAGAACAAGCTAAGAGAGACTTGGGTGTGCTACCATGTTGTGGAAATCGCCACGATCTTTTCTAGGCCCAAAAAAAGGAAACAAAAAAAAACAAGTACGAACAAAAAAAAAAACAGCACAAGAAACAAGAGGAGGTGAGAGGGGGGTCTCAATCTCAAGCATCAACATCAGCGTTGCAGTCTTATAATGGCGAGGAGTGCCCGAACACACGAGGGTAGGGTTTTTCACTAAGGTGTGAGTCTAAAAGGATCAACAGAACTAGCAGAATTCATTTAGGTCAAAATAAGACATGTGTGTCTTCCTGAGACACTTGGATGGATGGGACGGTGCAGCTGGTTGCCGCAAAAGCGCAGGTCAAAGCTTTGCTTACAACTTGATTTTTTTTTTTTTTTTACAGGACTGCCAAAACGCGTCTGGCCCCTTTTAATTGAGATAGGACAGTCTATAGGCTGTTTTTGTGCCATCACCATCGCTGCCCTTCTTCACCGTATATGTATACATATCTATATATATGAACACTCTCGAAAGAAAGAAAGCTGCCCATGCTTGGCGCCAAGCTCGTCGCGATGCACCGACGCACGCTTATCTCTTAGCTCCATAAATTGAGGGGGAGGGGAGGCTTAGATGCTTGTGCACGCGCACTTATCCTTTGGTGGGAAGAATCGTGGTGTGCCTTCGGCTTTCATTGAAATTATTGCGTTAGTTGCCGGGCCCACAAAGGTCACTTTGGTCTCTGCACAGGCCCCTTTTGCAAAAAGAGCCTGCTTTTCATACACAGCAAAGTAAAACAACTGAGACACTTGCTAGTTTGTACTCATCTGTAGCTGTGATTATGTATCATGCATCACTTTTGTTTAAATAGCACGTTACGAGTCGAGCAGTAAACGATGTTAGTTCGCTTTCGTCCTGCAAGTATCGTTTTCGTGAGTCATTTGTGTGTGAGCAGCCCGCTGCACCTTTATATCTGCTTGCCGTTCTGAGCTATACATTCTAAGTTGTTGCTGTGGCATTTATTGTTTTGCCCTTGCGACAAAACTGCACCTTAAAAAAAAATTTGTAACGTATTTACTGCCTTTAACCTACCGCTGCGTGCTCTCGGAGCTCGTAGATCGCTATCGCGTTGCCGCGACCACGGTTTTGTGCGTTGCGGTTGCCGCAAACGGTAGTTCATTTTAGAATCACATGGGCCTTTCAAACTAAGTCGTTTTATGCTACCTCCGATAGCATCTGCCGCAGGTTTGTCCTCAGAGTTTGCGGAAAGCAGTGTTGCTTTGACTGATTGAGCGCAAACTTTCGGGGTTCTCTCAGTTACGTCGTCACCATACATGATTGTGTCAAGAGCGACTGCGGTTTCGTCCTCAGCTGCTGTGGCAACAGCAATCACACGCACTGTAGCCCGCCAGTCCCACACGTACTTCCGAAGCTTCGGGTACGCTGCTCTCGGCCTTCGTTCGACAGTTTCCGTACTAAAGTTCGTATCACCCGCCACGATTAGGAAATGTGTTCGGAACATTTGAAGTTAGGCCCAATGAATATAGTGAAAATTGGCTGGAGAATTTCAAGACTTCGTATCTGCCGCGGTTTCGCATTCACCGAGATTATACTGTACGTTTAGATGAACGCCTCTTAAACTCATTTATAATATAATGGGTAGGTTTCAAAAGACTGGAGCAGATTGAGCTATTTTCTTGTCAATGCGGGCAGATCACGCACAGAAATTTTTATTTCCGGGACGATTTTTATGACAACCGTACAAACGGAAGAAACGATCGAAATCCGGGAGTCTCCCAGCCAATCCGGGAGCCTTGGTATGCAATGGGTAAGAAAGTATGAGGTGTTGGTTAGCGGGACTGCAGCGAATGAATGTTGGGGGTGCTTTTATTACGCAGGGACAAAAAAAAATCTAAATTTTGATGACTGAAATTGGGGGTGCATTAAATATGAAAGTGCATTCATTACGCAAGTAAATACAGTACCAAGGCTGTGGTGGGAAACACTGTCCACATTTACTGTCGGCAAGCAGTGTCAACATTTATGACTGGAGACTAGATTAGAGGCACATGCAGTGATGCTACCAAAGTCTTCTGATATGGAGCAACTTTTGAAGCACAAAAATTTTAATTTCATTTTGAAGTGCTATGAAACAGCAAAATTGCCAATCTGGGAGCACTCTAGAACAGCTTGATTGATTGATACGTGGGGTTTAACGTCCCAAAACCACCATACGATTATGAGAGACACCCTAGTGAAGGGCGTCTCTCATAACCACCTGGGGTTCTTTAACGTACACCCAAATCCGATCACACGGGCCTACAGCATTTTCCCCTCCATTGAAAATGCAGCCACCACAGCAGAGATTTGATACCACGACTTGTGGATCAGCAGCCGAGTACCTTAAACACTAGACCACCGCGGCGGGGCTCCGGAGCCATTAAATTGACATCCCAGAGTACACTGGAGAAGCAAGTTGTATTTACATTCAAGGACATGAATAATTATTTTGGGGCTCTTGTGATGAGGTCGAAATACTTAAATTCATTGCAAATCTTGGGGAGCCAATAATCTTAAGAGAACCCCCTATTTCACTTGATGACAAAAGATAACGGCATCATGGTGTTGAGCATAGGCGTGCGCAGGGTTCCCCTTCACGTACAGTTAACTGCCGATTTTTCGGACCCTCTAGGGAGCGAAAAACCGTCCGAAAATTCAGGCAAGCCAAAAAAATGAATGCAAGCAAAAAAAAAAAAAAACACACATTATTTTACTGATAATTTTCTATGCAAGCAAAAAAATGCACCATTTTGCTAATATTTCTCAATGCAAGCAAAAAACGCACCATTTCATTGATATTTCTCTGATAAAGAGGGTCAAGGTCGAAGTACCAGACTTCCGGAACTCTGCCAAAGCATCAGTGGGGTGGCTCTGAAAAGAGCCGTTAAAAAAAAAATGCATGGAGCCGACAGCGGGTGCTGTCAGGGCAGCCGGTATTAGAGCTGCAGTGGCTTGAAAAACTTGTTGATCCTTGTTTGAATGGTGTTCCGCTTGCATGTGATCACATTCGCCTCGATTGTACACCGATGACAGCGTCATCGATGCTCGCATCAATTCGGCGGTCGTAGGTGGCGCACGCGTTGGTACCTCTTTTTCGACATCGGAGTCGTCTGAATCCGCCATAACCTCACTGACTATTTTGTCGTCGGTTAGCTCTGCGTTGAAGTCAAGCTTGTTGTCAGCGTCGACGAACCGCTCAAAAGTTATTTCCGTAGGCATGGAAGCACCAGCACAGCGGAGCACACTTCACACGATCGCACAACTACGCACTAGGCTAGCCAAACACCATCTGGGCTGCGTAAACAAAACGGCGTGACGGCAGGCGGCGGTGCCTCGGGTACTCCAGAGGTGGGGCTGGTAAACATTCAAGATAGCCAGTGTGGCCAGACCAAATCGGTGTGTGACGGTTAGTTCTAGTTCGAAGTGGTGAAAAGCTTCGCGAAAGTGCTGCGCGGGAAGCCAGAGTGGGACGCACGAGCACAAGCGCTAAAGCGAAAGAAACTTTATTGGCACCAAAAAATTTCCGGGTGGATAGTTTCGATTGTCAGCGAAATACCCTTGCACGATAAATACGGCCAGTGTTAGGAATCTCGGAGGCCGTGCGTGTTTCTCCGTTAACGATCAACGAGTCCAAGCAACGAGTTCAAGCAACGAGTCCAAGCAACAGATGCCGCCACAGTAGACCGGCGCGCTCATTTATGCGATCGTAATGGCGTAAGACGCAGTTGTGGTGGTCTCCACTGGAGGTGAGTGGTTGTTTCCGATTTTCCGTCGCGTCAAAAAGTCCGGAAAATTGGACTACGGGGGGTTCGAGCGTCCGAAATTTTAGAGCTCCTTATACATTGATTCTATAGGGCTCGTGGCGATGCCGCGAAGATGTCCGAATTATCGGGCATGTTCGAAAATTCAGGTGTCCGAAAAATCGGCAGTTGACAATAGTGGGGAGGGGAAGGGAAGCGAGGGTTCAATGCAGTGCCCCCCCCACCCTATTATTTAAATGTATGGGGCAGGGTTTGCGGACCCCAACCCCATCATAGGTGACACGAGGGGGGGGGGGGGGGGGGGGGCTGCCTCCCTCATATGCACAGCATCCAACTTTTTCAGTTATTATTTTCGTAGCAAATTAACAGAACACTAGTTCAACGAAATTGTACGTTATGAAAAGACATTCTAAGTACACCTATGTGATTATAACCATACATGGTAGACAAACGGTGAGACAGCACCAGACACTCACACTGTCTCAAATGTATACCTCTAAAACGACTCTAAGGAGAAATAGGTGTTCTTCTTCTACACTGTACATCACATTGCTGTGCGTAACATGGCGTCACTTAGTCCCAAAAAGCCAACCTCATACGACATGTCCATCTATTGAGGCTACTTGGCACTCAGACTACATTATTTAACAAACATTGTTTCCCTTTCCCAGCGAAGTTTTATATGACTAGGGCTTTATGT